CTCGAGTTCTGGGGAAGGACATCCCCAGCGACCTGTCAGCCGGTGGAGGTGCCTCTTGGGCTGACGGGCTCTTTTGGCACAAGAGGGGCAGGAGATGGCAGCGGTCTCGGGGCCCAGGCCCGGGAGGGCAGGCTCCTGGGCAGGTGGGAGGTGAGAAGCTGACATTCCGCCTGCAGGAGACCTGGCCAGTGTCGCGTGGAGCCCCGGCTCCCTGGGCCCATCAGCCCTGCAATGCCGGGGTCCGTGCCCCGCAGCCGGCCTGCGGCCCGTGCTTATCAGGCCACAGGGGATAGGCGTCTGCCCCAGACAGAGCCACCGAGCAGCACCCTGCTCAGTTCATCCGACCTCATCTCATGGCAACACCTCCTTGACGGTGGCACCGGGCACTGATTTGCACTCTGGCCCATGGTGGGCGGGTGCTCTGAGTCACAGGACTAGACAGCCGCAAGTCCCACTAGTCCTTCAGAGTCCTCACGCCCTCCGGACAAGTCTGGCCGGGAGCTGTGGGGCGGGGGAGGCCGAGGCCAGGTCCCTGGGCGGCAGCCAGGTCTCCTTCCCTCGGGGCTGGAGAGAGGGCTGAGGAGTGGGTGGCGAGGTTCCTGGTGTGGAAGGGCGGTCTCTGCCAGGAGCCCCCAGAGGAACCCCGGAGGCTCAGCCGCTTCAGAGCGCACCCACCTGGAGGCTAGTGCCTGTCTAGATGGGGCTGGTTACCAGGCAACCCAGAGCTGGATTATGAGCTCCCAGCCTGCGGGCTGCCCAGCGCCTCAGGGGCCCGTGGCACTTGGTGCCTGAAGAACAGAGCGGCCCTTCCCTCCCCGGCGCCCTCGGAGAGCCCCGCAGAGGGGCGATGTTGGAGCGGGACTGGGGCTTCCTCGGAGCCTCTCCCGGCCTGGCTGTCGCTTGCCCGCGGCGGACCTGCTGTTTGCAAGATGCTCTGTGGGTCTGTGGGCCGGCTGCGTGCTGCCCTCGCAGGGTCAGGACTGACAGGCCACTTGCTCCGTGAGTGATGGGTTGGCCACGCGGATTCCAGCCGGGAGAGGTTTGCTGCCATGGTCTCCTCCCCTGGCCCCTGCCACTCTCACCTCCTCCCTCTCCCCCTCCAGAAGTTGCTCTGGGCTTCGTGCCACGCTGGTGACACGCCTATGATAAACTTCGACTTCCACCAGTTCGCCAGGGGCAGGAAGCTAGAGAAACTGGAGAACCTGCTGCGGCCCCAGCTGCAGCTCCACTGGGATGACTTCGACGTGTTCACCAAGGGTGCGAGTGTGAGTCCCCGGTGAGTCTCCGCCGTCTCCCCTCCCGCTGGGCCAGTGGTGGAGGGCTGGGCACTCCGGGCTGTGTACCTTCCCGCCACTCGCCAGCTTGCAGTATCCTGGGCCCCAGGGTTCCAGCCTTTCTCCACCCACCATCGCCCACCCCCTCTCCCAGATCAGAACCTGCTTTTGAATGTTGTGAGTAGACAGGAAAGCACATTAAATCTACAAATAAAGGCGACCAGGCTAGAATGGGAGCCATGGTAACCATATGACTTCTCCAGACAGAGGTGAAACCCCGAGAGAGAAGGGGGAGCTGGCATAACCCCGATGGGCCAGGAAAACAGGTGTGGATTTTGCTGCTCAGCTGAGCAGAAAAAGGAAGTCCAGGGTTCTCAAATCACAACACGGCTGATCCTCATTATTCCCAGAGCCTGTATTTGCAAATGTGCCCACTGGGTAGACTTGTGACCCCGAACCCACGCTCCCGGCGCTCACAGACATGCTCCGCCGGTGAGGGCCTGAGCCGCCAGGCCCGGCGTGTGTTCCCACGGGCTCTGCCCTCTGTCTCGCTCTCTTGCTGCCATCTCGTTAGTGCCACAGCTTCACATTTTTGTGCACTTTGTTGGCAATGTCACTGTTTGAAACGGCCCCCAAATATGGCGCTAAGTGCCGTCTAGTGACCCTCAGCACAGGAGGGATGTGAGGTGACTTACGGAGAGTTCAGGAAGCTCCGTGCAGCGGTGAGAGCGTCATTGGCTGTGAGTTCAATGCTGAGGAATGCACAGAACTAACCAAGGCATCTCTGCCAGAGGAGCCCGTGAAACAAGTCTGTGTGCGGAGTAGTTGGTGGAAATGCGGGGCCAGAGGCTCGGGAACCTGCGAGCAGTGGCTCAGGATTTGCTCGTGGGCTAGTGGGTCAACGATAGTTCACGGCCACTTCCTGAGCGTTACTGTGGTGAATCACGGGAATCGACTGTGTTTAGAATGACCCGGGTGTGTGGGCTGCCGAGCGTGTGCTGGGGTCCTGGTGAGCTACGAGGGGCACGCGTTTTGGGGGGCCTACGTCACACACAGGCCACTGTGCTGCAGCCATTGCTCCTTCTAACACAACACGTAACCGTTTATTTCCTGTTTTCCTAAGTTTTCAGAAAGGCACTTTGCGGATGAACTGTCTCGACTGCCTGGACCGAACCAACACGGTGCAGAGCTTCATTGCGCTTGAGGTCTGTCCTGCCCCGGCCCCTCAGCCCTCTGTCGTGTCCGTGCCTTCAGCAGGGCCGGCTGGGCCTGCGCCTCCGTGGGCAGATGAGGGCGTCACTGGGCTCACTTTCTAACTGTGGGGAGGGGGGCGGGATGTGCTAGGCACCTGGCGAGGTCTCCGGGGCGGGTGGTGTTGGCTTGCCTCTGACCCGTCAGGCACACTTTTCATGCATCTCCGTCCGACGTGGAGGAGCAGGGCTCTGGGCGGGAGTATTATGAGCACACTGCCGGGCAGAGGCGGGGAGAGGCTGTGCGGGAGGCTGGCTAGAGGCCTCGGAGGGAACCCCAGTCTGTCTGTCTGCGTGATCCCTCCTGGCTTCCCACTTGCAGGAGGCGGTGGTCCAGGCCAACTGCCCTCCTCGCTGGCCACCCTCTGGTGGTGGGGAAGGGACATCGTTGTTCGGGGGTCAGAGGAGGCTGGGTGGAATGGTAACGTGGGGGTAGCTGTGGTGCAGGCCCCCTTCTTTGCTCAGGGGTTCCTCGTCCTCTGGAGGATAGGGAACCCCGGGTGGGGTGAGCGGGCAGCTGGGGGAGTCCCCGGGGGGAAGTCGATGACCCCTGTCCTCACTCTCCCCAGGTCCTTCACCTGCAGCTCAGGAGCCTCGGGCTGAATTCAAAGCCCATCGCCGACCGCTTCGTGGAGTCCTTCAAAGCCATGTGGTCTCTGAATGGGCACAGCCTGAGCAAGATGTTCACGGGCAGCCGCGCCCTGGAGGGGAAGGCCAAGGTGGGGGCAGGCCAGGGTCTGGGGTTGGCGGGGGGTGGCGTGTGGATGCCTCTCACGGCCTGTGTCCCGCTCTCGGCAGGTGGGGAAGCTGAAGGACGGGGCCCGGTCCGTGTCCCGCACCATCCAGTCCAACTTCTTCGACGGCGTGAAGCAGGAGGCCATCAAGCTGCTGCTGGTCGGGGACGTCTACACGGAGGAGGCGGCCGACAAGGGAAGGATGCTACTGGACAACACGGCCCTGCTGGGTACGGGGGTGCCTCTCCCCTCGCCTCGGGCGTCCCGCTGCCCGGCCACGCAGAGGGCGTGTGGGATGCCAGCCAGCCCTCCCCACCCCTCATGTCATCCCAGGTGGCGGGTGGCAGACACGCCCCTGAGCCTGAGGGCGGACGGCGGGGGCGTGTGCTCTGCATGTGGCTGTGGTGGAGGCTGGCCAGGGACCTCCGCTACTCTGTTATGAGATGGTCAGTCCCGTGTGGCCACACGAGGAGGCAGGAGAGAGGCACCCTCTCTCGCGGACAGAGACCCCACCCCGTCCGTGTTTCTGGGGGAGGCAGGGGCTTGGATGCGGACAGACATGCCCTGTGTTGCCTCCCCGCAGTGACCCCCAGGATCCTGAGGGCGATGTCGGAGCGCCAGGCGGAGTTCACAAATTATAAGCGGGTCCGTGTCGCCATGGGGACCTGGAACGTGAACGGAGGGAAGCAGTTCCGGAGCAACCTGCTCGGGACCGCTGAGCTCGCCGAGTGGCTGCTGGACTCGCCCAGGCTTTCCGAGCCCGAGCCCCAGGGTGAGCGCCCATTCCATCGAGCCCTTTTCCATAGTGGTTGACCAGTGAAATGTGGTGTTTGGGGTTCCCGCACCCTCAGGGTTCAGAGAGCACAGGGTCTACGCTCAGAGCACCCCTGGCACGTGGACTACCCGCCGCCTTCTCTCATCCAAGCGTTTAGGGTTCTCACAGCCGCCACTCTCTCCCCGCTTCACACACAGAGATTCGCAGTTTTTAGGTTTTGATCAGTAGAACCTCCTGTCTAAGGAGGAAGAGGCAGCCTCTGGAATCATGTTCCTGTGAGGGGCTGGGCACGCGGTTCACGGCACCGCTGGCCGCGAACGTCCGCTCCTGCTTTCCCCCAAACCAGCCGTGCAGCAGATGCAGCCGCGTCAAGCCATGGCTTTGTGTGCCTTTTAAGAAGGAAATAATCCCAAAGTTGACACCTCACCTTCTGTCTTAGGTCTTGCGAGGTAGCATGTAATGGCCTCAGGGCTCAGGCTGGAGGAGGAAATGAGTTTCCCGCGGTCAGCTCACACCCAGGGCCTCGCTCCCTCCGGCTCCCTGGAGTCCCTTCCGGATCCAGTGAGAGGAGCAGGAGCCCCTCGCTGCCAGGAGAGCCCCATCCCCGCCATGCAGGCAGTCTGCACCCCCTTGCTGCCTCGGGGGTCAGGGGAGCTCGTGTCTGCCATTTGGGGTCACAGGGATTCTTGTGTTTGTGAATGCCACCCCCCCCCTTGCCCCAGGCAGGCCCCGTAAGCGCACAGGCTGGGCTGACTCTGCAGCTCCTTTTGCTAAAATGGCTCGTCTTCATTTGTCTGCAGGAGCAGGTGGGTGCCGACAGCACCCTGCCTCTTACTGCGCAGGGGATTCTCGTGGGATCGAGGGTACACCAGGGCTCCCACTAAAACACACCGCGTTCAGGAGAGAGGGGGTGTGGCTGTTGCCACGCAGATCAGAGGAACAGTGTTCTTTCCTTTAAAGGAAGAAAAGAAACTCTAAGCCAGTGAAGCTTGAGGGTCCAGGTGTCCTGTGTGGCCAACAGGAAGGCCGTGGACACTGGCCTTTTGGATGGAGTCAGGGAGGAGGGGGAGGGGTGTCACTTGCTGCAGCTCGAGAGCCGCTGGCTTCCTGGCTCAGGACGCTGAGTGTCAGAAGGACGTGCCTGGAGAGACGCGGCCAGTGGCTGCAGGGGTGGCATGGGACCCTAAGCTTCCCTGTTAAAGGGAGCACAGGACGCATGACTAGCACCCCTGCATGTGCTCTGCTTCCTGTCGGTCACTCCCCGGGGAAGGCTGGGCCCCCCCGGAAAAGCACTCGTGGGGCACAGACAAGTATGAGACAGTGCCTGCCCCTGGGAACCGGGGGAGAAGGTGTGACGCCTGTGACGTCACTGGAGGAGGAGGCTCTTAGGACAGACCTGGCAGGGTGGGGCTCACACGGCCTCTGATTGACACCACGGCCGCTCGTGAGGTGCAGCACCCGCCCCAGGATGCATCCGCCCAGGGGACTGGATGAGTGCACCTGGGCAGAGGGATACCTGCACCCACAGGCCCGTGTGGCGCCCCACGACTGAGCTAAGGCTGGCCATGGTGGCTCTGACTTCCTTCATCTCCTGCCTTGCCCCCAGATGACAGCAGCCCAGCTGACATATTTGCCGTGGGGTTTGAAGAGATGGTGGAACTGAGTGCGGGGAATATCGTCAATGCCAGGTAGGCGGCCGGGCGCCAGGGTGCAGGAGAGAGACGTGAAACTTGCTGGGGGTTCCCGGGCCAGGTGCAGGGCCACGGGCCATCTGTGTCTGCTGGCCTGGGCCCCTCGGTCGGAGGGGCCGCTGTCTGCCCTTCCCCACGCCTCTTCCTCTGCTGAGGGAGGGAGAAGGGCCGGTCGGGGAGCATGCTCTCTGAGCTGCGGCCTCTGGCCACGCAGGCTGCATCCTGCTGTGAGCCAGAGGGTGTGGGTGGAGGTCAGCGGAGGGTGCTGAGTCACCTTTCCTGGGGAGAGGGGAGAGGAGTGTGGGAGGAGGCACCGCTCTGCTCCCCACCCCTGATTCACGTGGAGTATAAAGTCAACGACACCTTTTCTTTCCTAAACTGGCACAGCTTCATTTCAGGAACTTTCTGAACAAATCATAAGCCCTGACTCTGTGGAGCTCCGAGGAGCAGGGCCCGTGCTGGGCTTCAGGTGGCGGGGTGGGGAGTACTGCTGGGGTGGGTGTGACGCAGCCAGCAACCAATGGCCAGTCCAGTGCTGCATGGAGCCCGACCCCGACAGGGAGGGCAACCGAGGGGCATCACGTGTGTGAAAGGATCAGGCGGGGGCTGGCGGGTGGGTGGGCTGGAGCGGGGAGAACCCACGGCCAGCCCACGGTGACTGGTGTCCCTGTCTTTTCTCTCCCAGCACCACCAACAGAAAGATGTGGGGCGAGCAGCTTCAGAAAGCCATCTCACGCTCCCATAGGTACATTCTCTTGACCTCGGCACAGCTGGTGGGCGTCTGTCTCTATATCTTTGTCCGTCCCTACCACGTCCCGTTCATCAGGTAGGAGCCTGGAGTTTCCGAGCATGGGGGACGGGGGTGGGGGGGAGGGGGACAGGGTCGTTGGTCATGGTGCTTTGTTCTGACTTCCTCTTGGTCCTGCCATTATTCTAGATAAATGGAAGCAAACCCCCAGGAGAAACTGGGCTGAATAGAATATTGTCTAGCAGTGAACAAGCCACAATGGGGCCCGCTAGCTTAGGAAGCTGGGCCCCTTCAGGAGTCTTACGTCACCCAGCTCAGCTCTGCACAAGGGGAGGGACGGATAAAGCCTTGTTGACATTTTAGTCGGGAAACC